TATATATATATTATATATATATATATATATATAGAGAGAGAGAGAGAGAGAGTGTCTTGATGGTATTCGTAAGGAACCTTTTGAAAGGTTTATTTGAGTTCGTCTATTTAAATTAAACTGTATTTCTATATCTCCATCAGGATACTCAATTATTTGATCTGGGTCTCTATTTACCGGGATTCTGGACAGTTGATTTTCACAGTGTAAAGACCATTTATCCGGAAGAGTTATTTGAGACCAGTTTATAGACTTAGGTATAACAATATTTGATATTTCCATATTGGTTTGGAAAAACACTGTTTGTCCCTTGGTGTCCATCTGGAGCGCATTCGGACAGAGAGTGTTCATCACTTTATAGCATATTCTATATACTAGTGCAATATTTTGGGATCCTGGATTCATATCAAATCCCTAAGTTGTTATATTTAGAGTGAGAACCTTTAAGTGGTTTAGATCTGTCAAGGAAACCGAAAAATTTGGGAAACAGTTAAAATATATAGGTCCATTGTACAGACTAGATTCTACTATTCCTAAAAGAGAGTCAGAAAATTTATTATGACGCTCATCTCTTACGCATAATAGGACAGAGTTATTTAAATCTAGTCGAGTTAGACGTTTTATTGCAATTTGGATAAGTCCTATATGAAAATATTTATACTCCTTACTTTTATGGTCTTGTATCATTCTATTAGCAAGCAATTGGAAGCTATCTTGTTCATTAGTAATAGATATGCTTTGTTCTACGGTTTTAATAGAAAAACTTGATTTAAATTCAAAAGTTTCTTTTTTATAAACATCAGACGCATGAACCTTAGGAATATTCCAATTTTGTATTTGTTTTTCTATGTTGTCTATAGTTATTTCTTCTTTATTTCTTACTCGTAGTGTACTAGTAGAGGAAGAAGTTGTTCTATTGGATAGAGTCCTAATAAAATTTGCCATCTTAGATAATGATTGAATACTGAGTCAATCGGAAACAGTCCCTGTACCTTTTGCGGCTCTTCCTGGCCTATCGGTAGTTCGGGTCACGACGACTTTTAGTTTCAATTCCTTATTATCCAAATGAAAATTTTTATTAAGTTTTAACCATAAGAACAATATCTAGAAACTACAGTTCACCACTGTAAGCTCATGGCTCTGATACCAAACAAACCAAGATCATACAAAAATTCATAAACTCATGCAGAAAACTAAAACATACAAATGTATGAAGATATTGAGTTATCAATGGTACACAAACTTTAGAAAGATGAATATTATGAAACAGAGAATACAAACCAGTTCACATGTGAAACATTTCTAATTTTTAAACAAACTACTAATTTAACTTGCATAGTAAGGTAGGAAACTTACATATGACACTTGCAATAGCTAGAGAATAATTTCCACTCGTCTGGGCAATAATTAGGCAGATTGTTCCAGTTACAGTCACACATAAAAACTATTTTACTTCCGGGTGGGTAGATACACCACCAGATATACAATAAAAAGAGAGAGAGAGAGAAACGAGTTATAGAGTGGTATAGAGCAGAGACGAAGTGAGACAGAGAGATTGCCGAGATGTAAAGAGTTAGAAAGATAAAAAGAGATGAAGAGAGCCTGCAGGGATGCAGAGCAGAAATACAGAGTAGAGGTGCGGAACAGAGGTGTAAAACAAAGGTGCAGGGTAGAGCAGATCAGAGCAGAGCA